TTCTTGGGGGTCTCATAATCACAAAGGAGGTGCAGCTTGGATCGTTCGTGATCATGGGGGTATTCCCCTTTTCCACAGCAGACGAGCGTTTTTTGGTCATTCCTCGTTGATGGAAGCTGAACTTCAGTCTCTCCTTTGGAGCATTCGAGCTTTACTTGACTTGAGGATTAAATACGTGATCATTGAGTCCTCACTTATCCATGCTAGAGAGGCGCTTCTCCAACCTCATCAGTACCCTCTATGGAGACATCTGACTGATACCATCACTCTTCTGCTGGAAGAATTTGAGGGTGTTAGTTTGGAACATGTCGCAGTGGACAGGAACAAGATCGCTAATCTCATCGCCCAAAGTGTGACAAGGGATCATCGTTACCAATCTTATGTGGCTACTGGTGGTCCTACTTGGCTGAGTTCCCTACTACGAGAGGAGGAGTTATATTCGTATTATTGCTAAGGAACGAGCTGAGAAGGATCTACTACTATCCATCGTACGAGCTCTGGAATCAACTTGCAATGGCACCTACTGGTGTTTCTTTTCTTCTTATTTTTCTGTTTCTACTCTCTGTTTTATTCCCCAATCCTCTGTTTAGAGGTGTGTGTTGCTTTTGGGGATCTTGTAATACTCTTTGAAACCTCGTTTGAATCCAGCGTCAAAAAAAAAAAAAAGATTTTCCCAACCCGAACTAACCGAAACCGATCTGAACCAAACCGAGTTAAAACCGAACCGAGAAGTTAGTGGGTTTTATTATTATTTAAATTAAAAATATTATTAATATATAATATACTAAAATCCTAAAATTAAAGTCATTATTAACTTTATTATCGATGTTGAATTTTTCCAATTTCCAATTTACTTTACTTAACTTTGATGTGATTGTGTTTATATAAAGTTTATATTAGTTCTTAAGGTGTTTGTTTCGATTTTATATTGAATTCGATTTACATAGTTATTTTTAATAGGTATTACTGATTTGTTTCTATTTACTTTAGTAAACTTTGATTTTATGGTGTTCTTATAAACCTTTTGTGTTTTTGTTTCAGTTGTTATATTAGATTTAGTTTACATAATTTATTTTTTCATAGCCACCACTATTTCTGTTTTAAAACATGATTTATGTTAAAAGAACTAAACTAAAAACACCTTAAATCGAACCGAAACACAAACCGAACAGAATCCAAATCAAACCGAAACCGATCCAAACCAAACAAATTATGGTTTACTTCTGTTGGAAGAATTCTACGACGGAATTAACCAAACCGAACCGATAAAATAACCGAAGTGTCCACCCCTACTTAAAACTTTGAAAACTAGCTTCCCTAAATTATAGGGAATCTTTTTGTTTAAAAATTTGATTGGCAAACAAAATGTTAAAAAAAAAACTAAAAGGCAAAACTTGATTGAAGAAAAATAGTTTTTTTACAAAAAAAAAAGAACAAAAACCACAAACAATCAACCTCTAAAGCAGCTTATTGTGTTTGGTTTTGTTTTGTCATTAAGAAGTTAAACACCCCTCCCCCAACACACACACAAAGCAGCTTATTATACTAAGATAAATATATCCACAATAATACACACACACACCTAATAAAAAGCACAAGCACAATATGCACAATATAAATTAGGAACTTCATAATCCTAATCTAGTAGGGACCCATCCATCCAAGACCGGCCCAAAGAGGAATCACCCGAACCATCGATTAATACATCCAAATTAACATCAATAAGTAAATATATATTTATTTATTTTTGATCAAATATTTAAGTCCATTTTGATCATTATTATTTTGAAGGTCTAATAGACTTAAATGTTTTATTAAAAATTAAAAATTAAAATAAAAAGTAAATAATATATATTTATATTAATGTTTTTATTAAAAATTCAAAATTAAAATAAAAAAGTAAATAATATATATTTATATTTTTTGGGTTAACTAATTTTAAATTTTTTTGTTTAGAGTTGAGAAGTGAGATTTTGAAGATACAATTTCAAATTTCTTTTCAGAAAAAAACTTAAATTTTCAAAATAAAATATTATTTTGATCTTTTTAATTTTTGATATCTATTTTTGTGCTAAAAAATTTAAAATATCTATTTGGGACAATTGTCCAATAAAATACATACACCGATAAAAATCCCTAAAACCCTAAAAAGCTTTCAAATCAAAACACTTTACTTTGTAACAGCAGCAGCAGAGAAAGAAACAAAGAAACATCCAGAGACAAAGGCAATGAGCATCATCGCCGGCTCCTACGAGAGATTCATTTGGGGCTTCAAGCTCAAACCCACAAAACACGACTCCCAAACCCAAACCCTAACCCTCTCCCCTCTCTTCTCCTACCCTTCCCACATCTCCTCCATCACCACCGTCGCTTGCTCCGGCCCCGCCGCAGCTTCCGGCGGCTCCGACGACACAATCCACCTCTACGACCTCCCCTCCGCCTCCTCCCTCGGCTCCCTCCTCGACCACAACCACACAGCCTCCATCACGGCCCTCTCCTTCTACACCCCCTCCTCCCTCTCCTTCCCTCGCAACCTCATCTCCGCCGCCGCAGACGGCTCCGTCGCCATCTTTGACACCGACCCTTTTGTCCTCCTCAAGTCCTTTCGTCCCCACAAGAAGGGGGTCAACGATCTCGCGATACATCCTTCTGGGAAGCTTGCGTTGGCTGTGTACCGTGATGAGTGTTTTGCGATGTTGAATCTTGTGAGAGGGAAGAGGAGCTTTTGTTGTAGGTTGGGGCATGAGGCGAGTCTTGTGAAGTTTGATCCGAGTGGGGAGAGGTTTTTCATGGTGGTGGGGAATAAAGTTGGGGTTCATCAGAGTGAGGATGCTAAGCTTCTTGTTGAGCTTGATAATGGTAGTCGTAAGCGTATTCTCTGTGCTTCTCCTGGTGAAGTAAGCTACTTATCTCTCTGTCTCTATAGTAACTTGTGTCTGAGAATTAGTTGTATATGTTTAAAGTAAGTAACTTTGAGATTCTTGTCTGAAAAAAAAATCTCATTTTTATGTGTCTTAGAGCTGCTCGTTGATTCTTTATCTCTCTGTCTGTATATTAACTTGTCCTTTTCAATTTGTGTCTGCGAATCAGTTTTATATGTCTAAAGTAAGTAAGTTTGAGAGAGATGTCATTTTTGTGTCTTAGAGCTGCTCTTTGCTTCTTTATATCTCTGTGTGTATATTAGCTTGTCTTCTTGAACTTATGTCTGAGAAGTAGTTGTATATGTCTAAAGGAGGTAACTTTGAGATTCTTGTCTGAAAAAGATCTCATTTTTGTGTGGTTTTTAGAGCTTCTTTATCTCTCTGTCTGTATATTAACTAGTCTTCTTCAACTTTTGTCTAAGAGTCAGTTGTATATGTCTAAAATGAGTAACTATTAGATCTATTTTTTGTGTCGTTTTGATGCTACATTAAGATGGTTTTAGAGCTCCTATGTTACCAAAAAATGTAAATTGCAGAAAGATCCCACCTTTTTTAAGCCATTGAAAGAGTCTGATTTTAAGAGTTTTCAGTCTTTAGACTCTGATTTAAGTGTGATAATTGCTATACTAATTGTTTCCTTATTCTGCTTCAGAGTGGAACTTTAGTTTTTTAGTTTTTATGTTGCTGTAGTTTGGAATTTGTGATGGTTTTGATTCAGATTTTTATACCTTTGGCTTTGGCTAAAAATGTTTGTTGAACATGAAACAGAGTGGGACTCTGTTTACAGCTGGTGAGGATAGGGCCATAACAGCTTGGGACACAAATAGCGGGAAGCTTGCTTATTCCATACAAGATGCTCACCAAGCTCGTATCAAAGGTGTTGTGACGCTTACCAGGAATGACAGTGAAGGTGGATCAGAAGATCCGTACTTGCTCGCTTCTGCATCTTCTGATGGGATCATACGTGTTTGGGACATGCGAATGGCGGCTAAAGAGAATGCAAAACCATTAGCCGAGACTAATACTAAATCAAGGCTTACTTGTCTTGCAGGGTCAGCTCTTAAATGTTAGTGAGTCTATCCTATTCACAGTACATGTTACTATTGATACGTGCAAGTAACGTATGATTCTTTATGATTCTCTGTTTTGTTCAGCTATGAGACGGCCACAGATTGGAAATCAAAAAGCTCAGAAGGTAGAAGAAGGGCCAAACTCAGCATGAGAGCTGACAGTTTTCTGATACAAGTTTTGGTAGAATCTTTTATTTTTAAATATGATTTCACTTATGTTCTTGTCGAGTTACAGTTAAACAAGTTTGTCAAACCCTCTGTCTGTGAAAGAAAACTGTTCTTACTAGATGACACTTTTATGTTGTTTAAGTCCTTTAAATCTGTCATTTAAGTTTGCTAAACACGTCTTTTAGCTCACTCCAAATTTGTGTTTATTATCTATTTTTATATTTTTTAAGAATTCATATTTATTTATTTTTTTAAATTGTAGTCATTATACTATACATTTTTTTCTTAATTTAAATATTAAAGATATTATGAAAAAGTTATATTTTAGTTTTCTTACATATTATGTACTACTCCTTCCGTTTCAAATTATGTCATTATAGTGTAAAATTTTCATTTCACAATAAATATCGTTTTATAATTTCAATGCAAAATTTATTGATTTTAAAGTCATTCTATTTTTCATTAGTTGAAAAGTGGTTAGGTGTATAGGTAATTGTATTTTTATTTTGAAAATATGTAAAATTAATTGTTTTCTTAATCTATGGGCAAAAATATAGAATGTCAACTTGTAAATTGAACGGAGGGAGTATGAGTTTAGACTTCTGTTTTAATTTTTATGAAATAATGTAAAAGTTAATTTGAGATGTGAATATATTCATATTTAGATTTGTGAAGAGTAACTTTAATACAAATTGCGAAATCATATTTGTAGTTAATAAATTAATTAACGAACTCACATGGTAATTCAATATCACAATTTTCAAATAAAAGTTTTTCTTTTATTAAATTCTACATTCTTTTTATAAGCATACAGTTACATGAAGCAGGGTTCTTGCATGCGTCAAAGCATAACATCCAGAGCTTGTATAATTTCAAAATTTCCCGCAATCAAATTATCAAGCCACTCAACTTTTCCAAAAATCTTACCTCCTTGGCCTCTTTCCAATGAAACCTCTGCACAACAAATCCCTCTCGCCACCCCAATGATTGTTACTGTAGGAATCAAGAAAACCACTTTCCCATCGTACCTCACAGTCTTTAACCACGCTTCTTTACCTCTTATCTCACCGAACAAATATTTCAAACCTTTCACCACCTTCCAACACCTTTTCTTTGAATCATATGCTTTTAAGTTGTTCTTGACAGAAGAATAGTAATATATAACATCATTAATGACACACACATGCTTAAACTTCCTCGAAATCAGCTTCTCATCATGCGTTTCCCATTTAGTTTCTTTTGGGTCATATACAAGTTTCTTCGAGTAAATCTTATTACCCATCACCATGCAACCATATATCCTCCTAATACTTCCTGCGGGAACGTCTAGATTTGTCATCGCAGGCTCCCACATCTGTGTTCTTGTGTTGAAAACCAACACCACTACTGGTATCTTTTTATCGCTTATAAATCCAACAATGTATATTCTGTCGTCGATGACGTCAGCCATTGTTTGATACATCAACGCATGTGGCATGCTCGGGAGTGGTTGTACAGTGTGAGATCTACAGTCAATGCTGTACGCGGTTGACGTCATTTTATTGTCATTCTTGTCGATGTTCACACCAAACACGTATATCTTCGAACCCACCGCCACAAATATTCCACGTTTAGGCAAGGCGGGAAGACAAGGGATAAGGACCAAACGGCTGTTTTTGCCGTCAGCTTTCCGGCAGAGCGTATACAAACTGCGAGCATTGTTGTCCCTGTCACGGAGAACAACATAGAGACAATGTTCGGTGCATCCCAACAAAGATCTTATGGCGTATATGTCAGGCGACGCAATGAGTGACCGGAAGTGTTTTGAAACAAGAGAGATTGTTGGATAGTGGCATCTCGGTACACGCGCTAAGATGTTAAGGATGATGTCTTCCGGAAGCGACATCGTATGAGAACTCTATCTCCCGAGTTTAGATTACATGTAAGTTCAAATCAAGAATTAGCAAGAGAGTGAATATTGTGATTGAATCATGAGACCTCAAGGATCATATCATATCATATATATATATATACAGTATATACTAAAGAGATTTTTTTCTATTTTCTTTTAATTTTTGTTTTAGCAATCAGAGATTTCTTTCTATGCAAAGATGAACAAATCTCATAAATAGTTTCTTTTCAATATTATTCCCAAAATAGCATTTAAAATCCAAACTGGCCAAAAGAGGTTTCACTTAATGACTAAATGATAAGTTTACTATCATTTATAATTTAATTAATTATCTATTAAATATATAAATAAATAAATATTAAAAAATTGAAAATAATAAAATAAACGAATTCTTAAAAAACTTTTAAATTTTATCTAAATTTTTTTTCTCAAAATTGCTTTTTAGGAAGTAGTTTTTAATAAATAATAGTTTAGGAAGACTTTCTTTAATATGTATGATACCTTCCTGCATTTGAATTTACAAATTCTTTCATAAATGTGTAAATAGATTGTTTTGAATGTAATCTGTATAAATATTTAAGAAGCTTTTCATAAATGAGAATGTCATCTTCTTGGATTTGATTTATTTGCATATTTAGAAAACATTACTCTTTATATAACATCTCCCAAAAATTTACGAAGATGATTTTAAATATAAAGTCTTTATAAAATTTAGATATTCAATTCGTGAAGGTCTTCCAAATTTTTTGACAATGTTATACATATTTAAAAATATATTATTAAGTATATAATATTCAAATTCAGTAACATATTAATAAATGTCCTCCTAATACATTTTAAGAATACATTTTAAATACACATCTATAAGAGTATTTAAAATTTTCTGAAGATATGATCCATATTATAAATATCTTTCTATTTTTTTAAAAAAAATATTATACTTATTAGTAAAAACTTTATAACGTCAAATTCAGAAAAAATATTATACACATTCATGAAGGTATTCCTAAACCGTAATTCGGAAAAATATCATACATCTTTAAGAAGACCATCCTAAACATTTTTAGGAAGATCGTTTATAAAAAAATCGCAAAAAAATAAATCAAAACGTATTTTTTTACTATTTTAAATTTTTTATGTGTGTTTAATATATCTACATAGTATGAATATAATTGTTTTTTACTTCTTTAATGAAACGTATATTGGCTGTTTTGACAACAGTGTGTTATTTTGTGATAAAAAAAAAAAAAAATTTACAGCTATCCTATGACCTATTATATTTTGCTTTAAAGATTCACTTAATTAAAAATAATAATATTAACTTAAAATTATTTAAATTTAAACTATTTATATTCATCTAATATTTTATTGCATTTTCCATAACTGGATCCACATTTATAGGAAATTTATTAAAACCCCAAAATGGATTTAACCAAGAACAATGAAATAGCTGACACAATAAAAAATCATTTAAGAATAAATCTATATTATTAAATAACAAAATTTTCTAATTAATATTAATTAGTATTATGAATGAATATTAATTCATTCTGATTTATATAATAAGAAATATCATTTTTATAATATTATATATATACATAACTCATATTCATAATTAAATTATTACAACAGCTAATAAATATAAAATAACTTAATCTATTTATTAAGTACTTTAGAAATTATAAGATAATTACATATAAAAAATAACATATATTCATAAGGTTTACCAACTTTAAAACAAAATATGAAAATAAGATATTTAAAATAATAATAATTTTATATTTAGTATACATATCTATATTAGAATATTAAAAGGTAAATTAATATATTTGAATTTATAAAAATACAATACTAAATTAAGCTGACATCTATACTATTATTTGCGAAGTGATTTTTCGCAACGTAGCTCTCACGTTAAAAGTTAGAGTGGTTAATATCGTTTATACCCTTAATGAATAAAATATATAAATCAGTCAAAAATAAAAATGAATTTAATACTTATTTGATTAGATAAATGATTTAAATTAATAATAATGATAACAATTATCCATAATCTAAATATATATTTAAAAATAAAAAGATAATTCCCATATATATTGTGTTGTTATCCGGAAACTATATTTTTAATTAAAAAAATCAAAAACAGAGAACTCGTAAATAAATATTCATAAAGTAAAAATTTTAATTGTATAAATTCAAAAGATAAAATTGAAAAAATTATAATACGTAATTATTTTCAAATTAAAATAAAAGATCATTCAAAAAGAGAGAAAATACGTGTTTGAAAAAAATAAATTCAAATATATTGTATTATTATCCAAACTAATATTATTCTTTTTGTAAGATCAATTTTTGGAATGTATATTTTTCGATTCAGTTTTTCAAATTGAAAGCTAGAATTCTATATTTTTTATCAATTAAGAAGAAATGAAATAGACTTTAGATTTTTCAAAGTTTTAAAGAAAAAAAATAGTTTTTTTTTAATTTGTGAATAACTTTATCTTTTAAAAAGATTTAATGTTTTAGGTCGATTTTTTTGGATGCAAATAATCATTTATTTTGATACTTTTTAAAATTGATTTAAAGATAACTACGATCACATGTGCAGTCAAAACACCTAATTATTAGTATTTGAATATGGTTCATCGAATTATGTGTTATGTTTTACAATTAAAATTTATTATGAATTCTTGCATAAACATGTAAACAACTATTAATTATGAGATGTGTTGAACAACTTTTATATGAAGGATAGTTATATGGAGGGTGCCTGCTTCAAATCATGACATCTAGAGGTTTCACAATCTCAAATTCTCCATAAATCAAATCAAGATCAAACCACTCAACTTTACCAAAAATCTGGCCTCCTTGGCGTCTTTCCAACGAAATCTCCGCACAACAAATCTCTACCCCCATCCCATTCCTTTCTTGTGTAGGAAACACAAAAAACAGTCTCTCGCCGTATCTCACAGTCTTTGAGAAATATTTAATTCTTATCCCACCCAAAAAATCTTCCAAACCTTCGACTGCCTTCCAACACCTTGTCTTCGAATCATATGCTAAGAATTCACCATCATAGTAGTATATAACATCATCAATAATACACGCATGCTCCCACTGTTTCGAATTCAGCATCCCGTCGTTTCTTCCCCATTTATTTTCATTTGGGTCATATACAAATTCCCTCGCGTGGATCTTATTATCCATCACCACACAACCATAATAAGTATCTACGAAAACTCCTTCAGGTTCGTCTAGATTTGTCATCCCAGGCTCCCACATCTGCGTTTTTGTGTTGAAAACCACCACCACTGACCATTTTTTATCGTTATGATGATTTCCAATTACATATATTTTGTCATCGATGACGTCAGCTATTGTTTGATACATGAACGCATGTGGCATGCTCGGGAGTGGTTGCACAGTGTGAGATCTACAGTCAATGCTGTACGCGGTTGATGTCATATTATTGTCATTCTTGTCGATGTTCACACCAAACACATATATCTTTGAACCCACCGCCACAAAGCTTCCACGTTTAGGCACCGCAGGAAGACAAGGGATAAGGACCAAACGGCTGTTTTTGCCGTCAGCTTTCCGGCAGAGAGTATACAATCGGCGAGCATTGTTGTCCCTGTCACGGAGAACAACATAGAGACAATGTTCTGTGCATCCCAACAAAGATCTTATGGCGTATATGTCAGGCGACGCAATGAGTGACCGGAAGTGTTTTGAAACAAGAGAGATTGTTGGATAGTGGCATCTCGGTACACGCGCTAAGATGTTAAGGATGATGTCTTCAGGGAGTGACATAATCCTGAATGGTAGGTTAAATCAACAATGAGAGAGAGAGAGGGAGGGAGGGACAGAGCAAATATTGTGATTGAATCAGGAGACCTCCAAGAATCTCAATATATAACTAGGAGGAGAGAGATCTCTTTGTATTTAAAGTTTCACTTAATTAAAATAGTTTTATATTTAAAGAGTATTTAAATTTGAAAATATTTATATTCATCTATATTTTATTCCGATTATGACAAGTGGGTCTATATTTATATGTTATTTCATAAATATTTAATAAATAATAATTTAAAAAATATAACTATAAATTAATCTATACTATTAAAACAGAAAGTCTTTTCTGAAATATCTTTCTGTTTTGAAACTATTTATAGATCTATACTTAAAACATATGTTTTTTTATTTAAATCATAACCAAATCTATTTAATCTTAACAAAATCTATTTAATCCAACAAGATTTAGTTTTAAGATCTTTTAAATAACCGAACAGCAATAGTATCTCGTATTTTAACTCACCCTTAATTTTAGGTTTGATTTGTTTGTTGTACAATTACGCTTAAAAACTATAATTTTACATAAATTTTAATTTATTTTTAAAATAAATATTTAGAATTTAAAATAAAGTTGACTACTTTCCGAATTCAATCTACAATTAATGAGATAAAAAATTTACAATTAATATTTGCGGATTATTTCCTTAAATATCTAAAATAGGTATGATGCACAAACAAGTCTAACAAATATATTTTCATTTCAATTGTGATCTAACAAACGGGTTAATAATTTTATCAACTAAAAAGCAGTTCCCACATTTTGAAAACTCATATCAAACTATAGTATTTTATTAAAATAGTGTATATGTTATCAAATAAGTTTTAGGTGGTGTTATTCATTGATGTATTTTAATAGAGTTTAAATCTAAACACAATCCACTGTTATTCAATTAATGATTCTGATTTCTATTTTAAAATCTAGTGTTATTCATTGAATGATTTAAATCCAGTATTTAAAATCTAGTGTTATTCAATTTTTAATGATTTTAAAATTCTTTGTATTTTGGATTGATTTCAAATCATCTCTTGTGAATTTTTATGAATAAATGAATGAATTCAAAATCTAAGACCTACTGGAGAGATTTCAAAATTCATCAACTTAAACTTTCTTAAAATTTTAAAATTTGATAGATTATAAAACATTAATCATTGATTTGAAATCACTGATTGAATAACACCCCCTATACTTAGAGATTTATCAAGATTATATAACACATAACTGTTTAAATAAAATTATCCATGCTAACAAAAAATAAATCATATATCCTAATATATATTTAAAATAATAATTCATATGTACAACTGTTTGGAATTATTTTTATTCATGACATAATTTTACAAAACGGGTTAAGTTTAATATTAAAATTAAATGATATATTTATATATATGTCTTATAACAATTTAATATAAATTAGATTATTATATTATTTTCACCAAAATAAAATTCTCAAGATGTTCAAAATTTTGAAATTTACTAATATATCTTAATGTTTCTATAAATATAAAAATATTGAAACAATATATTTTTATATTAAATTAAATTTATAAAATAAGTTTGTTGTAAGAGTATTGATAATTTTGAATTATTTCAATATTATCTAAATATTTTGGTAAAAACATCCGCTAACCATTTTGTTCAGTGAGCAACGTAAATGGTGGCATAACTACTACTTTTTATCCCTTTTTCTTTTTCTATTTGTGAGCCACCTATCTAAACTAGATGAAGTGGTGGTCAGATGAGTCGATTCTCTGAAGAATACCTCCGTTTGGTCGGATCTGATCTATATGAAAAATATATAGCCTATGATCTTTGCTTCTTTTGCTAGCGCGTCCGCTCGACCATTTCTACTACAAGGAATATGAGACATGAGGCTGCCCAAAATAATTTTTCCATCTTCACATGTAAAGTTGAGATGTTCTTTCTGTACGTCCGTAATCTGAAGACTTCATAACTCATTTGATTCTTAAGACACCAACATAAGCCACTAATACTATCATTATCGATCTGTAACACATCAATTTGGCAGGTAAGGATTCGGATATCCAAGGGGACACTACTTCAACCTCTGTAACAGAAAGATTGTCATGATCCTCGTTTGTTTACTCCTTTTCATTAATCTTCCTCCAACATTTTACCTCAAGAGAAACGTGTTGAAAAATATTAATTAGAGAATTATGATCTCAGTGAATATATCAAATTATGATCTCAGTAAATATATCAAATTATGATCTCAGTGGAAGCTACTAATTAAGGGAACAACATATTAAGTATTCACTAACTCTACATCTTCTCTGCGTAAAGAGTTGTCTTCCACTGCCGTCACTTCAAACCCCAAATCACAGCAAAAGTAGTTTATAAATTAAAGGAAAGAGAATGTTCCTGAATCAAACAACAACATGAAGAGCATCCGTAATGTGAAATTTGCCAGAAGCAGTGAAAAGATCACACGCCTGATGAACTAGACCCCAAATCTGACCTCCTTTGCATCTTTCCAGAAAAATCTCAGCACAATAAATCTCCCTCTTTACTTCCATGAATTTTCCTTTAGGACACAACAAAACCAGCTTCCCACCGTAACTCACAGTATGTATATACCCAAAATTAATCATCTCATCCAACAACTCTTCCAAGCCTTTCACCACTCCCCAACACCTCTGCTTTGAGTCATACCATCTCAACTTGTTCTCACTACAATCGTGATAGTACAAAACATCATCAACCACACAGGCATTGCCCCACCACTCCTTTGAATTCAGAACCTCGTCCGTTTCCCATTTTCTTTCCTTTGGCTCGTAAACAAAGCTATTTTGAAAACCCCTCATGTACATCTTACCACCCATCACCCCCCCAAAACCGTAAGTACTTAACCTACCTATCTCCATCGCTAGATTTGTCGTCATCTCATGCTCCCACGTTTGCGTTTCGGTATTGAACACCACCACCTTTAACCTGGAGGAATCATCATATCCAACAACGTAGATTCTCCCATCGATAAAACCAGCGAATGTATTACACATGGGGAAAGGCATGCTTGGGAGGGGTTGCACAGTGTGAGATCTACAGTCTATGCTATACGCAATCGATGTCATCATCATCTCTTCAAACCCACCAAATACGTATAACCTTGTACCTACTGCCACAAAGCATCCAAAGCTAGGCATAGCAGGGAGCCCTGGGATAAGGACCAAGCGGTGGCCAATGCGAGTATACAAATTCACATCACCTTTATAGACACCGAGAACAACATAGAGAGAGTGTTCAGTGCAACCCAAGGAAGATCGTCTCGCGTATATCTCAGGCGACGAAACGAGTGAGCGGAAGAGCTTTGACACGAGGGAGAGTCTTGGATAGTCACGTCTCGGTACACGTGCTAATATGTCAAGGGCGATGTCCTCGGGAAGTGACGTCATCGGAGACATGTGTTGTGTGGCTTTACGGAGACGCAGAAACCCTAATTAAGAGAGAGAGAAAATTAATCCTTGTAGCGATCGCTTCAGCTAAACCCTAATTAATTAAACCAGCTCTTAAATAAATAAACAAAATCTAACCGACTTCAGTCTCTGGTTTATCTAAACCATCGAGTTGTCTGATTAATAATCAATTTTTTTAAAAAAACTAATAATCAAAGTATTAGGACAGTGAATTTGAAAAATTATATTCAGAAGTTGATTTTATTTAGGCCATACGTTCGTTTTTGTAATTAAAAAGTACATTTAGATTTTGCAGTCAGATGTTGCACAAGGAGGAGAGAGATCTCTTGTATTTAAAGTTTCACTTAATAAAAATAGTTTTACATTAAAGAGTATTTAAATTTAAAAATATCTATATATATACATCTTTAATTTATTCCAATTAGTACAAGATTAAACTATTTACAGTTACAAATTGATAAGTTGTGCATAATTTTATGAATAGTGATAATAATTTTGGAAAAGATATATATAATAAATATTTGTTATTAGCTTATTATAAATGTTAGCAGTCTAACTTTGATTTGACAAACATAATATTAAGTGTTTGATTGTAATAATATTGTTCATTGTTAACAACACTTGAATATAATACTTGTTATTAATATTGAATTGGTGCAACCTAAAAAATTCAAATAAAACAAATTAATTGTTATATGTTATTAGGCAAAAGTTTTTTTTGGTAGAAGTCCTAATTTTTGAGTCACCCATGTAATAAAAGGGAAAGAATTATATTGCGAGATAACAGTAGTAGTGCTTTTTGCCTATGGAAACGCTTGTTTCGGTTCTGTAAAACTTTGGTGGAATTTCTATTGACAAGAAAGAAAAATGTAACTAAAAAAAATGGTGGTTCAGCTGGGTACGAGCCACCAGGCCATGTGGATCTGAGTGGCTTTGATCCGTTATCCGTCCACTGCCGAGAGAGGGAGGTGATCGCTGCTCTATGAAACCAGCCTCACGCATTGCCCTCCCCTCTTTAGGAACTGTCTGAATCAAGCCTTCGCCCAACACAAACAGCTCACTCTCGGCTTGGACCGGGCGGTCCAGATGATGCCACATCAGATCCGACCGGTGGGCCGGGACAGTGTTCCACCATCTTATTGTCCCCACATGGGTCACAAACCCTTGTTACTGAGCTCGACATACAATCTGTTAGCTGAAGACTTATATAAACAATACAATTTTGGGTCAAGTAACCGATGTGGGACAAGAGAAAAGTCTAGAGATTTACCTGTGGGGGATTACAGTCTCTCTCTCTCTTCTTCCTAGCCATTTGTCTCCACTTTGAGCATCTGGATTCTGTTAATGTTGCAAATGCACAAGGTGTAGTAGTACATACGTGTGTATCGCATTTTACTTGTTAGACTCAAACTTATATGTGAAAGATTAGGTTTTATTGAATCTGTTGTTCTTTGTTATTTGTTGTGTAGTTTGCTGGTAGTCCTCTGTTTATGTGTTAGTAGGAGCTTTTTTTCTCAGCCTGCTAAAGATTTTTTCTGAAGACTTCTATGAATATCAAGCTCATAATACAGGTGAACAAAGAAACTCCATTTCAGATTCTATGATCTTATTTACTCCAAAAAGCCACACAGAAGTTACTTCCCTCAGATTATTTTGCGACTCTGTAACCTTTTAAAAGTTGCTCCCGTAGATTGTTGGAAACTTTTATCTTCAGATTTTTAACCAATTTATCTCATGTTTGAGCTCAGGTATGCTACTCCAGCAGGATACCGTGTAGAGCAAGACTGAGTCGTGTTCTAGCCACGCCACCGTCTCCAACCACTAGCAGATGGCAAAGATATAGGAGAAGCTCTAGCAATTTTTTTTTGTTTCACAGATTCTTGTGGATTTGACTAATACTCATACTCTGATCCAGGTTTTGGACAGTTTTAGGATCAATGTTTAGGCATGTAGCCTTCCTTGCTGATGTTCTTTCACTGATTCAGTCAGTTCACATGGAGCTGTCTTCTTTCGACGAGACGGATCATCCGTTGAAGCAGAGGAATGGCGAGCATTTCATGAGGGAAGAGATCAAGAAGTACATAAAGATCAAACCCAACCGGCTTGGGAAGCAGAACTTCATGGGAGCTAATGGAACGTTCACTTCTATAGGGCACGCTTGCTTTGTCATGAAGAAAGATCTAGAAGAGTATATGGACTACGACGCTTGGGGAGATCTGCAACGACGACTTGAGATTAGCTCAGAAGACGGTGTTTCTCACGTGCACCGCAGCTATATTACTATGAGTCTTTGTGGAAGCTTCCTGATAAGCGGAACGTGAGATGGGGACAGTATAAGAGCAAGAACTTTACTTGTCTCGCAAGCAACACAAAAAGAAATAAAAGGGTTCTTCAAATGCACTGATTGGTTCAACCTCACGAGTCTCCGAGATGGGTTAACCGAGTAGAACTCGATCCAGAGACAAACCAAACAGCGGATTTCTCGATACAAGAAGTACTTGAGATCAAACAGGGAGAGATTAGAATCGGTTTGGACTTCAGCGTTGGTACAGGGACTTTTGCAGCGAGGATGAGAGAAAGTAACGTCACCATTGTAACAGCAACAATCAAACCTAGGAGCTCCATTTAATGAGATGATCTCTCTGCGTGGTTTAGTCTCTCTGCGTGAAGGTAGCAAACGGAAGAGGCTAAAAAAAAAAACACAATCGATAGGCGATTTTTAGGCGATTTCTAGTGCGATCGAGATCTGGTTCTTCCGATGGTTCTGGGGGCTCCGTTGGGCTCATCAGAATCCTTGGAGAGTGGTGAGAAGCTGCTGGAGGGTTCGAAGGAAGGATCTATGGATGGTTCTAAAGTGACGGAAGGTGTGGGAAAGGGTCAGGAGGGATTTAAGGATGGTTCTGGTTCTGGAGTCGCGAAGGGAATCGATTCGAAGAAAGGGGATTCTAGCTGGGTGAAGGTGGCTCAGGAGAAGAGGTGTTTGAAAAAGTACGAAGTTGAGGTTACTTCAAAGGATGGGAAGCATAAAGTGGTGATCCCTGATGAAATCCTTGTGGACTCTACTCCACTGTGGGAGGATTTTATTGTGGGGAAGTTCTTAGATATTGCTCCTCATATAGCTAAGGTGCATATGGTGGTGAACAAGATCTGGAGTTATGGTGATTTGAATTCCAAAGTTGAAGTTTATGATGTCGATGCCAAAACGATGAGATTCAAGGTTGCTAACTCAAAGGCAAGGGAGAAGATTATCAAAAGAGGGATGTGGAATATTGCTGGGGTCCCGATGGTGATCAAAAAATGGACTCCGAAAACAGAAGAAGAAAAGCAGGAGGAAGTAGATATTCCAATGTGGGTTCATTTGCGTAAAGTGCCTCTGAACTTGTTCTCATGGGAGGCTCTGAGTTTCATGACAAGCACGGTGGGGTTCCCTGTACATCTTCATCCGGAAACTTTAGCTTGTTCAAATTTTGAGGAGGCGAAGGTTTTCGTAAATGTTGATGTTACAAAGCCTCTACCAAAAGAGATTGACTTTTTCTTGGATGGTAAGGAGTTCACTGCTGAGTTTTATTACCCGTGGTTGCCTTCAAGGTGTAATCTCTGTGAAAAATGGGGTCACACTGAGAAAGTTTGTGTAATGAAGAGTAAAGGAAAACATCTGATTGGAGGTGGAGGTTCGGAGAGAAGTTTGAGGAACAAAGAGATTGGGAATAAGACTGGGGGTGATAAGGTTTTAGAAAGAGTAGAGGATCCTGTTGAGGGTGTACTTAAAGAAGGGAAAGTAGGAATGCTGGAGGGTGATGATAGTGTTACTGATAAGGGGAATGTGGAGGTTTTGAATGAAGTGGTAGATGGTGAAGTGGAGAATAATAAGGTGTGGTCTTCGGTTTCTCCAGATAAAGTTGGTAGGGCACAAACTAAGTTGCAGAAGGATGACAATGCTGTAGAGATATCGGCTTCTAAATATTCTGTGCTGAGTGTTGATGATGTTGAGGAAGGTGAGTTACAAGTTACCGAGTCTTATGAAGAGGAGATGGAACATGATGAGTTACTGGAGGTCGACGAGAATTTGGAAAGTGACTTATTGGAGGATGAGTTACTTGATCAGAAAGAGAAGGAGAAGGTTGAAACGCAAAAAAGGGGTCGTAGAGGCCAGAAGGCTAAAGCTCAGGAGCTTCCTAAGAGCAAAAAGTCTTCTAGGCGTAAACAATAAGTATGGAGTGCTTCTTCTGGAATGTACGTGGATTCAATAAAGCGTTGAAACATTCCGTGGTTGCTAAGTGGATTAATAATAAAGATATGAAGTTTGGTTGTATATTGGAGACTAGGGTTAAAGAAAGGAAGGCTGAGAGGATTCTAAAAAATAATTTTAGTGACTGGTCCTCTATCACAAATTATGAAGACAGTCAGGGGGGTAGAATATGGTTATTATGGAGGGAGTCAGTCCGTATGACTCCAATTTATAAGTCTGATCAAATTATTACTTGCTTTGTGGAGATGAAGGGTATGGAGGGTTTCTATTGTTCGTGTATTTATGCGAGTAATCAGGTAGAAGGGAGAAGAGGGTTGTGGGAAGATCTTTCTTATCATCATAACTCTCCCAGTTTTAAGGATAAAGCGTGGATGATTATGGGCGACTTTAATGAGATCTTGGATGGTGCTGAGAGTTCAAATTTTGCGGATGTGGGTAGTATTTCAAGAGGGATGAGGGATTTTCAAACTGCAGTCTTGTATTGTCAGTTTACGGACATGGCGTATCAAGGGCCATTATACACTTGGTGTAATAAAAGGAAAGATGGAGTAATTTGTAAAAAGCTTGATAGAGTCCTGCTAAATGAAGAAGCTTTGCACAGATTTAGTAACTCTTATTCAGTGTTTGAAGCTGGAGGATGTTCAGACCACTTGAGATGTAAGATACAACTCTGTCCTCCTTGTGAAAAGATTAAGCGGCCGTTCAAATTTGTAAGTGCTATGGGGAATCTTCCTACCTTCCTTCCAATGGTTCAGGACTATTGGAACTCGACAGTGCCACTCTATCACTCAACATCAGCCATGTTCAGGTTTTCTAAAAAGCTTAAGAGTTTAAAACCTTTACTTAGACAGCTGGGGAGGGATAAGTTTGGGAATTTGACTAAAAGAGCTAAGGAGACTTTTGAAGTTCTTTGTGAGAAGCAAAAAGCTACTCTCTTGAATCCGAGTGAAGTTGCTATTAACGAAGAAGTGGAAGCTTATGAAAAATGGATACATGTAGCAAGTTTGGAGGAAGAGGTCTTAAAACAGCGGGCAAAATTGCATTGGTTGGAGGTGGGAGACCAGAATAATAAGACCTTTCATCGTGCTATCAAGACTAGACAGGCTCAGAATCTGATTCGGGAGATTAGATGCTCGAATGGCAGTACTGTTTCTACTCATCTCGAAGTAAAGCAAGAGGCTGTAAGCTTCTTTTCTGAACACCTTAATAAAACTCTTCCTAACTACAAAGGTGTTACGGAGGAGGAGCTTCAGCACTTACTCTCTTTCCATTGCACTCCTGAGGATTGTAGACTTCTTGAAGCTGATGTTACTGAGGAAGAGATTCGTAAAGTTTTATTTGCTATGCCTAATAGTAAATCTCCGGGTCCAGACGGTTTCCCCTGTGAATTTTTCAAAGCAACGTGGACGGTTCTCTCTCGAGATTTCATTATAGCTGTGCAGTCTGTCTTCAGGTATGGCTTCTTACCGAAGGGAGTTAATTCTACTATACTTGCGCTGATTCCAAAGAAGGTGGATTCTCTTGAGATGAAGGATTACCGGCCTATTGCGTGTTGTAACGTTCTTTACAAGGTTGTTTCGAAGATTCTTGCTAATAGGTTGAAGCTTTTACTTCCTAGAATCATATCAGAGTGTCAATCAGCATTTGTCCAAGGAAGACTTCTGATGGAGAATGTTCTCTTGGCTTCGGAGCTTGTAAAAGATTACCATAAAGAGGCTGTGACTCCGAGATGTGTTATGAAGGTGGATATCTCCAAAGCTTTTGATTCAGTTCAATGGTTATTTGTGCTGAGATGTTTGAGTGCTTTGGGGTTTCCTACAAGATTTGTCCACTGGATCAAGCTCTGCATCACTAGCCCGTCCTTTTCTGTCCAAGTAAATGGAGACTTGGCTGGTTATTTCCAGAGCTCTCGTGGTCTGCGCCAAGGCTGTTCACTCTCACCATATCTTTTTGTGTTGAGTATGAATGTTCTATCTCGGAGAATGGATAAGGCAGTAATTGAAAGGAAGTTCAGGTTCCACCCGGGGTGTAAAAGACTCTCTCTCACTCATTTGTGTTTTGCAGACGATCTTATGGTGTTTGTTGAAGGGTCTAAAGAGTCTATTGAAGGAGCACTATCTGTATTTGGTGAGTTTGAAGAATGGTCAGGCTTGAGTATAAGTTTGGAAAAGTCTACTATTTATATGGCGGGTATTGCTGAGACGGAGAAAAGAAGAATTCTGATGAATTTTCCTTTTGCTGAAGGAGTTATGCCAGTCAGGTACTTGGGCCTCCCCCTTATGACGCAAGCTATGAGAAGGCAAGATTATTTGCCGTTGCTGGAAAAAATCAGAAGTCAGATAAGTTCATGGGTCTGTAGATTTCTGTCATATGCTGGAAGGCTCCAACTGATTAATTCAGTCCTGATTAGCATTGTTAACTTCTGGATATCAGTGTTCCGACTTCCTAGTAGATGTATTCATGAAGTGGAGCAAGTATGTTCGGCATTTCTTTGGACAGGCCCTGCTCTTAAAACAACAAATGCCAAGGTGGCGTGGAAGGATGTTTGCTGTAGGAAGAGAGAAGGTGGCTTGGGATTGAGAGATTTGAAAGAGATGAATAAAGTTTATGGCCTCAAACTGATTTGGAGAATGTTGGCTGGCGACTCTTTATGGGGAAAATGGATTGATAGCAACTTGTTGAAGGGGAAAAATTTCTGGGAAGTCAATGCTAATATGCAGTCTGGCTCGTGGATGTGGCATAAGATGCTGAAGCTTCGTGTTGTGGCCAAATCTTTTTTCAAGAAAGAAATTGGTAATGGGAGGCATACGTCTTTTTGGTATGATGATTGGTCAGCTAAGGGTGTGCTTTATGATTTACTTGGAGACCGTGGGTTTATTGAGCTGGGAGTAAGGAAAGAAGCTATGGTTGATGAAGCTGTCTTAAACACTAGAAGGAGGAGAAGACATAGAGTGGACTTGCTTAATGAGATTGAGAAGGAGATTAATTCTACTCGGATTAGTATTAATTTTGAGAAGGATGATGTCTGTTTGTGGAGAGGGAAATTGGGGTTTAAAAGGAAGTTCTCTACGCAGGAGACTTGGGCATTGCTGAGAGTTGATAAACCTTTATGTGGTTGGGCTAAGGGTGTGTGGTTTCCTCAGGCTACACCGAAATTTGCCTTTATTACTTGGTTGTCGATGTGGGATAGAATGGCAACTTTGGATAGAATTGCTAAATGGAATCATGGCATTAATACCACCTGTGTTCTGTGTAAAAATGCAAATGAATCACGAGGTCATCTCTTCTTTGAATGCATGTACACTGCTCAGATTTGGGAAGCTATTGCTAAAGGGATTCTCCGTAGCTCCTATACTACGGTTTGGGATGAGATTCAAGTTCTGATTCTGGATGAAAAGCGTGAGAAGATGAGCTTGTTTTGTCTGAGATATGCTTTTCAGGCAGTTCTTTATGCTGTTTGGAGGGAGAGAAACAAGTTAATTCATGGGGACAAGATGCTTCCTCTTCAAGTTATGATAAGGATGGTTGATAAAGGGATAAGAAATAAGATAAGTTTGATGAGAACAAAGAGAGTGAAG